GTCTGAACAGGGTTTTTCATGAATATGCCGCTTTTCACTAAAATTAGCCTGGTTGCCTCGAGGTTATTGGTGAACTCATCCTCTTGGACAGTATTCTCTAACTTCTTCAATTAAGAACACGTATACGCAACGTCTGGAGAAAAATAATCGCCTTATAAAATTGCGTCGCTTGGTCACTTATGAATTAATTTTCAAGTATTAGTGGTGCAGTTGAAGAGTCCCAAACTAGGACGAAACAACTGTCCAGTACTCCCAGTTTTTGCAATGGTTCCCTGATTGATGTAAGCTCATGCTGAAATCCCCCAGGCAATTGAAGAATTAATCTATGATTAGGTAACTATACGGATTGAATTTAGATTTCAAAACGAATCGATATTAGTTGCAGAACCATTGGAAAATCACCAGTAGGGAGCAATGGACAGCCATTTCATCCTAGTTTTGATGTTTTCACCAGTACACTCTCATGACCCCAAGAGAAATCTATCAGTGAGCCTTTACGTTATCAGCCAAACATGTTGGTCGATATGATCGTGAATGTCAAATGGGAAGACTTATTGAAATAGATTGAGGTGGGGCTAAATATAGCAACTACAGGAGGAACGGATGAGGATGTCAAATCGAGAATCGGGAAGGCAAGAAACACATTCATCAACCTGAAACCAATCTGGAAATATTCGTCACTCAACTCAGCATCAACAACAAAATTCGGATTTTCAATACAAACGACGTCAAGTCATTTCTTCTATAAAGATCAGAAACTTGGTGGGTCACAAAGAATATTTCCAACAGCCTGTTGCAGACCTTTATCAATCATCAACTGTCTTCGCTGGCTCTATACTGAAGATCAGATGGCCGGAAAGAAGAAGAACCAACAAGAAACTATTGGAAGAAGGAAAACAAGAACCAATTGCTCAACAAATATGCAGGAGAAAGTGGAGATGGATTGGACACTCGGTGAACTGCGGATGCCGCTGGGTGACATCGCGCGTCAGGCCATAGCTCGAGTGGAACCCGAAGGGGAAGCGACGAGTGGGACGTCCAGGGGTGACATGGAGGAGATCGTGTGAAGAGGAGTTGAAACAGTATGGATTAACATGGATGCAGGTGAAAAGTACAGCAGAAGACAGAAACAAGTGGAGACATGTAGTTGAAGCCCTATGTTCCACTAGGAACCCAAGGGAACAATAATATATATATGTATAGCTAATTACCAGGAGTATCGACTCTTGAGTAGAAAGTATAACAAATCCAATATTCAAATATTATTCAACTTAAACCTGTACCTTTGAGATAAATGTTTGTGTCGAACAACTACAAGATAAGAAGTATTTTTGTCTCCACAAACTTCATTCCTCATTAAAATACGAACAGCAGATTAAGAGACATTCTTTTTTTCTTCAAAATGTTCCACACCAGACACCTGTTCTCCACATATTTTCGCCTTTTTTTTCATTCAACTTCATACCTATTACATTAGAAGTGGGTTAAATAAAGGCCAGCATATTTTGCAAATTGTGTTTTTACAACATACAACTGAAGGTTAGACAGTCTTCAAGGTCATTTAAATTTAAATCAGATTGGTGTTGCGTTTAAACGTCTAAATAGCTAACATGTCATTAATCATCTGTTTTTAAACGTCTCTGTTCTGAAATCCAGGTGTTCATTTGGTTTTTTGGGGTGGGGTGGGGATGGGAGGACACTAAACCATGTAAACTAACCTACTTCCAGTCAGTTGGTAATAAATTTGGCAATGCTACTGACATACGCTTCAGTAGTAGATTTTTTATAACTGGTGAAAAATTTTACCTATGGACTATTTTGTGTTTTTCATTCCGTTGTGTTCGCAAATGGAACAAAGAGGTCGGGGGCTTGAGTTTTGGTAGCGGTATTGTTATTGTTCCCTTGAGTTCCGATTAGAACATAGGGCTTCAGCAACACATCTCCACTTTGTTCTATTTTCTGCTGTCCACTTCAGCTGGCTAGCCACTCGATTGCCCATAATCTGTCATCTCCTACTCACCAAAACGATCTCCTCCATGTCACCTTTGCACCAACGACCAACTCGTCGCTCCCCATTCGGCTTCCACGCCAGCAATGGCCTGCATTGTGCTCAATGTCATTCAACGGCCCCTTAAACGTGTGTCCGATACATCTCCTTTTTCTCCTACATATTTGTTCAGTAGTTTGATGTAGGTTGGTTTGTTGCCCGCCAGCCAGAGTTTCTTGTCGCTAATTCTTTGTGACCATCTGATTTCCAGTATGGAGGGAAGGCAGCTGTTGAAGAAAGTTTGCATTAACTTGTTGGAAATGCTTTTCGTGAGGCGCTGGTCAAGTTTCTGACCCATATCGAAGAAGTGGCTACATTTCATCACTTCAGTAGCGGTGGTTTCGTTTTGTTTTTATGCCGTAGGGGTTGTTAGCCCCACTCACACCCAGCCTTCCCTATTTCCCAGGCACACTAAGTGTGGTTTAGAAGTGTGTCGTCTGTGAGTCAAATACCTGACCACTTGATTGTTGGGCAGTTATTCTACCTTTGACCCACTGGCGAATTCCTTTCATGTATTAGATTAGATAGTTGTAGGCAATCGGCCACAGGAAGCCTTGAACCTAGGTTTCGTGCTAGTTGGCGCTCTTCAGCAAGGCGTATCTGCAACCTTGAAGGAACTGATGTCCCGCGTCACCCAGTGCTGCAGTCAGAGACGTTACCACTGAGCTATTCGAGCTCGCGATTGACCTCCTGTAGGACTGTAGTGGATATTTTGATTCGACACTAGCAATTCGTGTGATGCGTCTAGTCCGCTCTTTGGTGCAGAGTGAATTCTATTAGTCAGGTTGTAATGTGGCTACGTAGCTCGCCATCACGGTGTATATTGTTTGTGGTGATATTAGATGGTTGGAGGCAATCGGCCACAGGAAGCCTTTCTTGACCTAGGTTTCGTGCTAGTTGGCACTCTTCAGCAAGGCGTATCTGCAACCTTGAAGGAACAATTTATGTCCCTTCTGAGATTCGAACCCGCGTCATCCAGTACTGCAGTCAAGACTGCAGATACGCCTTGCTGACGAGTGCCAACTAGCAGGAAACCTAGGTCCAAGGCTTCTTGTGGCCGATTGCCTCCGATTACCTAATATCATCAAATCAATGTGCACCGTGTTGGCGAGCTACATAGAATGGTGGCTACATTACAACCTGACTGATAGAATTCAGTCTGCACCAAGGAAAGGACTAAACACGTCACACTAGTTACTACTGGCCAATGGAAAAAATGTATTAGATTATTGAAAATCAAATTGTTTCGGACAAATTTTTTGTTTGACTAAATTTCCTCCTGCTTAAAGTAGTCATATAAATTAACCCTTTGTTATAGAGATTCATCAGTTATTTTCGATCAGGAAATGTCTTAGTGTCATCGCTTTATGAGGCAAGCGAGTGAGCAGATAGATAGAGGAGTTAGACTAGAACGTTCATCTGACTTTCAAAAGACGTTTAAATCCAACTTGATAATATTTCGACATCAGCGATTGAATCATTTCATAAGATCTATGAAAATTGTTGGCAAAACTGATGGAAGTATTACGAATTATCCAAGAACCTATCACTGCAGAAGTGTGCAGGAGGAAATGAAGCTGGGATCTTCAAATGACATGAAATACATAACAGTCTTTTCCTTTATTGTGAACCCAAACAGGAAGCACTGGGTTAACTAGCAGAGCGCCCAAGGGTGAAATGAACCTGATTGTGTACAGAGGGTATGATGGCGTGTTGTCATCCATGGAAACAGCTATGAAAGGCGGTAGTGAAAAGAATAAAATGAAGATGTGCCGATGTAGACCTTTATGGCGCCCAGAACTCAGAGGAATAATAATATATCAGGTGCCTGTCTTACTAATGAAATGTATAGGCAAGTATATAAAACCCGTATTTTTTCTTAATTCACAATTTTGATTTTCCTGTTGACTGACTGGATTGAAGTGTCCGGCCTATGTTGATTTGCAGGCTCCTTGTATGGATGCTTCAACGATGTCTGTACAGAGGGCTGAGGTAGCCTAAATGGTCAGACAAATAACACTTCGGTGTTAAAGACTATGGGTGCTGGGTTTGAATCTCACTGGAGACATCATTGCTCACTGAGAATGCATCCACCAGCTGACGAGTTCCAAATAAGATGACGAAATTCATATCCTGGATTCCACCCACCAAATTATGTAGAACTCTGTTTTTGAGAATAAATTCAGAGTAATGATATAGAACTATACATCTATTTCATCCTATTTTGGGACTCGTCAGCAATACACCCAACAGTATACCCAAGACCATTGGGTTACAAGACGAGGTTGTTGACCACTCAACCAATGAGACGGAATCCAGTGGACCACGAATGCTAACTTCTGTCAGTTTTTCGATTTCCAACGCTCACTACCGGCTGATGTTATCAAGGAATAGAGAAAAGTTGGAATTCATAAGCCATTCATCTCAGCTACCCAACAACCAACGAGCTCACCGTGTAACTTGAACGTCCTGGATCCCATCCACCATGGTGTCATGGGTGCGTTATGCCGAAGAGTAACACACCAGGGCGAAACAGCAGTTCAGTACTCCACGGTGGTTTTCAATCCTTCTCTAACTTACATCAATCCGTGATCAAACTTGAAAAGAATCAAATCCTTTGAAACTAATACCTGAGCAAGCGTAGTTTAATTACGAAACACTCACTATCCTTCCTAGACAACATATTCAGCGCTAATTTCACACTGGTGTTAGATAATGACGCAAACCGATCTCAATGAGAGAACTAATAATAAATGCGGGGAACAGGAAGGTGGTTTTGCTCTGGTTTTCATCTTTTCTGTGGTAGTACGAACACATCTACTACCTTATAAAGTTCTGATTCGACAAACTGCAGCATCTGAACAGTTCGCTTCACACGTTATCAAAGTTTTTTTATTGATTTTACTTATTTTAATGTGTATGTCTTTCTGTTTTATTTCTACCCAATAATTAGATTGATAAAATCTTTTCTACCAATGCAATTAAACAAGCCAATTCAACGAACTCTACTGGAAATATTCATGGCACACAAACGACACAAATTAAAAACTCTCCTACATTGGCAAATAACATCATTCATACGGATCGTTCACATCTCCGCCGTCATCTTCAGCATTCAAACTCTGATAGCTCAGATATTAATGAGCCATTTTTAGATCAATATAATTATAAAAAGCACGATTTCAAAAGTAGTGATTATCAAGCTGATAAAAGAAGCTGTTGTTTTAAAAATGATCATAATTCGAGTAAGTTTAGAAATTATTTTTAGTAAGAATATTATAGAGAGAACATAGTAATTTCTATTTTTAGGATAATCAATAAATAAGTTGTAATTGCTATTGATTAATTCGATTAATTTTTTTAAAATTTAAATTAATTTATCGATCTATATTGATGCATGAATTAAATTATTTATTGAATGACTTTGTGTAATGTAGGTGTAAGGGAAAATTTTATTTGTCAATTAATGGTATCAATTGATGACCTATTATTATTATTGATTTTTTGGCTTCTGAGTGAAACATGGGGGTTTCAGCAACACATTTCTGCTTCAATCGATTGTATGGTTATTATTTTAATTGGCTCTACGAATATCTACAGGCTATTAGTTTCTTCTCCTCAAATCATCTCCTACGTGTGACTATCAAGTGGATGTACAATTCATTGCTTCCTGTTTGGTTTCCACTAGACACTCTACGTGGTCTGTCAGGTCCTTTAGAAGTTTCCATGGTGATTAACTTACTCAAATATTTTGGGAAATAAGTTGTTGGATGGTTTTCTGGTTGAGTTTCTTCTTGTTAGCATGGAGGAATTCATCATGAGCTGACATCAGTTAGAGAACCACTGGAAAACCTGCAGGGAGTACTGGACAGCTTGCCCTATTCAGGTAGGTAGTTACCTGGGGTTCTAGTGAGAAGTCGCAACCAGTAGGGTGCAGCAGGTAGGGTGTGAGGACAAAGACTCCCCGAAGACATTGGCTAGGGGTCGCACTATGTCGTGAATTGGCAGAAGTTAGAATTCACGGACCATTGGATCGGGTCCCAGTGGCTTAATGGTATACGAGCTCGCCTTGTAAACCAGAAGGTCCTGGGTTCGAACCCCTGTGGGTGCCTACTGATGAAGAGTCCCAAACTAGGACGAAACAGATGTCCAGTACTCCCAGGTTTTCCAATGGTTCTATAACTAGTGTCAGCTCATGATGAAAATCCTGTAAAAATAGAATTTATTGGCTTTTGATCGGATAAGATATTCACATTCGTATCCATTATTAACAGTCTGGTTAGGAGAAAGATGACCGCCATTCAAAATGTTTGCAGTAATAGGGCTCTGTTACTGCTAATTAGGTGCATACCTTATTGACGTGAGCCTTCAGGTGCTGACAACAGAATTCTAACTTCTCATCATGTTCATCTCAATTTAAGTTATTAGAATATGACTTTGCATTTTTATGCGTATTCATCGATTGATTTTAGTCATTGTTTTTGTGTCTAATAGTTTTAGTATTTTTTGAATCAATATATTGATTTATTTTTCAATTCATATTTTTTTATTGTTTAGAGGTAAACTATTCTACAACAACAACAACAGAGACGACTGCATTACTGGAAACCCCGATAGATTCCCTACCCGCTGAGGGCCCAACAGTCACTCTGCTCTCAGCCCCAAGAACACCACACTATTCAGACAGTGATTATCAAAGTGAACAAGATATTGCCTGGACTAGAACTTTGCATAGTCAACAATCCTATCCACCAACTCGACAGTCAGTACTACTGGATCCTCAACAAACCAAAGGCGGAAAACTTGAATCGAATTCTTCATCGCCTGCAGCTAGTAGTCGTGCAAGTACAGTGTTTTGTCCACCATGGGACAGTGCTCCAATTGGTCCATATCTTGCTGATTTATTAAAATTAAATCCACCATTTTCAAATCTTGATGAAAACAATCAATCTTCAAGTGGCGAGCAGCATCATATCCGAACCGACCACCCATGTCAACATCAAAAACAGCAAGCATGCCAGCAGCATCGTAGAGAGTCGTCAACATTTAACCGACGTAAGACATTCTCCAGCGTTGAACATCAGCTGTGGGCTGAAAAATTAGCCGCTGACTATAATAACTATTGTTCTTCATCATGTTCGATAACGTCAACACCACCGACAACTGGGGATGTCAGCAATAATATTAATAATAATAACAGTAATAAGCTGGACATCCATAATCTGTTTTGGCTATGGCAAGAGCAACAGCAACAACAACGACAATCGCAGTCGAATGATGAAAAATCGTCATCCGCTTCAATGGGAAATATTGATTTATTGAAGAAGCTACAAAATGATTTTAACACGGCGATGAATACAAGTCATAATGAAGGCGGCGAGAAACCGCCTCCACTGCCGGCAAGGAGTAAACGAAGTGTACCTATCGGCATGAATCATATTAACAACAGTAATAGTAATAATAATAATATAGATAACCCTTTGAATTTATCGAACATTTCGAAAAAGAACAGTTCAGATTTTAAAGGGTGTTCATTGGAAGATTTTACAGATGATATAAGCGTAAGTTGGCTTACGAAATAAAAATCAATTTTTGGGTGTTTGTTGCTAAGGATTTAGGTAGTCGATAATAGCACTGTCTGACATCGGTATAAATATATCACAAATTACAGGATTTCCTAGTGAGCTGATATTGGTTAGAGAAGCACTGGAAAACTAGCCATGGAGTATTGAACAGTTGTTTCGTCTTGGTTTGGGACTCTTCATCAGTATGCACTCACAACCAGGGGTTCAAACTCAGGACCTTCTGGTTAGAATGTGAGCTCGTAGAACATTAAGCCACCAGGCCTCGAGCTAGCGACCAGCCCATGAATTCCAACTTCTGATACTTCACGCAGGATATAGTGTGACTGGCTTTAGCCATCGTGCGTCGATGGTATGGCGGTTAGGACGCTTCCCGACCATGCACATAGTCCGGGGTTCGATCCTCGACCGACGCACTCCTTCACCTCGCTTAGCCAGAAATAAAGGTGGTAAAGAGGTAGGGTTGGGCATGGGTTTAGCATCCCTGTCTTGTAAAAATAAACATTGCTACAGAAACTTCAATCCTCTAGCTTGAAGCCTTATATTCCACTGGGGACGTGAAGGTCTATCTGTCTGTCTGTTTTCGACATAGAACTTTGCACATATGTGCGGCAGTTCAAGTCGCCACACTCCTTCCATGTAGCACACAAAGCAAGAGAAGAAAGTAGAAGAAATGCATATTAGAGACAGTAAAGAGAGGTGTGAGACAAAGGTATAGTAATAACGAAGAACAAAACAGTTTCATTGGAAATCATAAGTCACAAGGAGTGGATGCATCTGCCCCAGCCATTGAGAACGATTTTGAGCCATGTCACCAATTGTTTCCAACCATTGGTTTTTACCGTCCCGAGGACCCCAACCAGTGAGGAAGTCTACACCTTCCTACGCTGGCTTAGACTAACTGTTGTGGATTTCATTGATTGATGAGGTCATGTTTTGGTTTGACTGCCGCTAGCTCTTTTCCAGCCTGACTCTATATCAGCTTACATTGCCCGTCAGTCGAGGAAGGCGATGACAAGGCATACGTAACACATGTCCTAACCATCTCAGTCGATGTAATTGCACAGCCTCATCGATTGATTTCCTCTCCCTTCTCACCTAGCACTCGACCGATACCTTACCTCAATATTGCTCACCTTATTATACCACTTCACACGGGAAATAGAGCGCAGGCACCTATGATCAAAGACAGCTAATCTTTTCATGTCTTCCACTCTCAATGGCCAGGTTTCACAGCCATAAAGGAGGACGGAGCGGACTGCTGAGCAGTACATACGCCTTTTGGTAGATAGTCGGCGTGAAGGGACGTGAAGAAATAAAAAAATCGGTGGCGAGTATTTGTCCTCACACCCGGCCTGCTCTACTCCACTCAGTGATCATGACTTCCCACTAGAATTCAGGAAACTACCTACGTGAACAGGGAGATTTGCTAGTTAGCATCGGACTGATATTTAAGTGATGGTTTGTAGGGACTTGACCAAACGCCACTGTCAGATGTGTGCTGACGAAGAGTCCCTGTCACTAGGACGAAAGGGTTGGCTGTCCAGTACTCCGGGGTGGTTTTCAAATCGTTCTGTAACCGATATCATGTCATCATGATGAAATCCTGTAACCAATCAAATTCCTGCAAACCAATACACTTGACTATTGATTCATTGTGTTATTGGCTGATTGTATTGATCGATGCTGTTCTATATTCTATAGGATAATTCGATAAAAACTGTTATTGATTGTGATAAAGCACCTGCTCTCTTACTATTCTAACTATTATTATTATTATTTTAAAAATTTTCAGCCATATGCTGTCACTGCATGTCATTCTTCATCAATGTGTAATGAGGACAATCATAAAAATAATATTGATTCAATGATCTCAATACCTGAGAGTACAGGTGATCCATACTCACTGAACAGTTTGAAACAGTATACACCTGCAACACCGTTGAACAGCACTCATCATGATAACGGTAACGGTACAGTTACGCCTGCCACTGCTACTACTACTACTACTACAACAAAGGCATGGACTAAGACAACAGCGACCAACACTGGCATTACTGCTAATAATAATAATGACAGTACTACTGTTGAAGAACTTCTACCCTATGATTATTCTGCTTCAAATAGATCAACCCTTTTTGATTTCTCTCAGACATCATTGAACAATAACAGTAATCCTTCAGAATGTACAAAAATGAACAATAACAATAATAGTGGAAATGATAATCGCGGTGATAAAAAATGGCCGGATAATTATGTTTGTAAGTTCATTTTTCCTCTTTTTCCCCACTGGTTTATAGTTTTTGGGGTATATGGTGTCGAACTCACCAGGCGGGATCACTAGTCCCATTCATTTCCAATCTATCCTCACTTATTCCAGGTTAGGAATCGAACCCTGACCCTGAGAATTGCTGACCATCATTGCAACATTGAATGACTGATGCTTATGCTTGTAATCTTATATAGAGAGTAGTTTCTGCTTGAGTAACCTTTTTCTAACTCGCGGAAATCAGTCTCATCTAACCGCTAGTGACTGGCTGCAAAATGAAGTTGCCTACAATTCTAATAAGAAGTCGTGGCATCCTCCAGGTAGAGAATGAAGACAAATACTCGCTATCGATGACACTGTGATAAAATTCACGAACTGATAGAAGTTAACATCCACTGACTGGCTATTGATTCGGATCCCAGTGCCTGGAGGGTCTACGAGCTTGCTTGGGTTCGAACCCCAGTTAACGGGTTCGGATTGGCGATGAATCCAAAGCACTTGAACAAAACAACTGTCAAATAATCCCCCCTCCGCAGTTGGTTTTCAATGGTTGGTTCTCTAACTGATACCAGTCTATGATCATACATGAAACAAAATCGTGTCCTTACAAAGAAACTTTTGATAATTTATATATTTGTAATAATTGGTCACTAAGGAGTGAGTCACCAATGTCATCTGTCTAGTCTTTGGGTACTGGCACAGACTGCATTCTACCGTCAGTCAAGTATGTAATGTTGGGTCACTACTATGCTAGATGGCTTGTTATTGCCGTCGACTTCAACTTGATGTTAGATGGTTTGGGCGAGATCGGCAGGAAGCCCTGCTAGGACCTAGGCGGTATAATTGTCAATCAGATGTGTGTACCTGCAATACTGAGGGAACCGATCTTCCTCTCCTTGAAGATTCTAACCCACATCACCTAGTGCAGCTATCGGAGACGTCACTACTGACCCGTTGAGCTTGTAGGAGCTCGATCAGTTTCAGTGTGGATTTCATGATAAACTGGCATCACTTAGACAAATCACTGGACATCTTTAATTCACTCACTGCTGCCTGGTTCTCAATCATCCCCCCTCTCTTAGTGACACTACTGGTTGTTATGAGTACTCGGAAACCGCTCGTATCAGATAGTAGTACTTTTAGCCATTCAGAGTTGAGCTCATCAGCAATGTGCTTGGATAAACTTAGGTTAGACAAAGTGACAGAAAGTTCGAACTATCCTGACTGACTGACTGACCAACTGATTTCAACATAGAACTTTACACAGAAGTCCTAATTCTGACCTGCTACTTTAGACAGCAAAGAGTACATAGCTTTGATATTTCTGTACACACATCCCAGTATAACATATCTTTATATTCCTTTTTTTTTGAGTTAATTTCAGTAAAATATGTACATCGCTGAACGCTTTTTAATATTTGACAGTCAAGAATGGTGTACTCCTATTCGATTTAAGGCTTCATCAGTCACCAGCTAGCCAGAAATCGGATGAATTGAAGTGATTCGGCTATCTGAGCTGAGTTGTACTGCCTACATCAGTGATGAGGTCGTCTACAAACGCGGCGAACGATATTTAGATCACCTGTATCTGGTTGGTTAGCATGCACTACTGGTTGATTTGAGTAATATACAACTACTTATATCAACCAGTCAGTAGTATATAGTTAAGTACACTAACTTTTCACTTTATATGTTCATTCTGTGCCGTGACAAGATTCTGACCTCTGACCTAGCTACAAAACTCTAGCTGATAGACGACAACACTAATAGTTCGTCAGTCGCTGACTCGAATCCTGCAGTACATCGGTCTGCACCATCCGAAACGACCTCAGGAGATCTTATCATCATCATCATCATCATGATTGGAAAGTAGCTTATTTGTGAAAAGAGAGAGAAAATTTAGGAGTACAACCAATTTATTTATGCTTCAAGCGATCATTCTCATTACATTTCAATAAATTCTTAATTCTTTTGCATCATTAAATATCGATTTTTATTACAGATGAAACTTACTGATGAAACTGAAACGTTGATTGTAATTTTTGCGTGAAGATTTTTATGTGAATCCTTCTTCAATATCTCCTTTTCTTTTCTTGTACATCTTCACCACTATCATCATCTTCGCATACATCGAATTCCCCGTATTTACATGCAACAGTATCGCTTCCAGAATGGTTATAAATACCTTCTTCGTAGATATCTTCTTCAACGATTTCATCGTCATCTGATGATGATGAATGCCAGACTTCAGTGTATTCATATTCTTCTACATCATCATCCTCTTCTCTCTGGTTCTTCTTCTTCTTGTGATGTTTGTCATCTTGAATACCTCCACACAGAGTGTTGTGTTTCCTGGAGATACTATTCAACAGGTGTTGTCCAGCGTTATTCCGTCTATGATAAATCCGCGTATGCTTAAATTTTCTGGTAATTTTACAAACTACCGAACTATCCGCTGTGTCATCCTCCGCTTCCCCCTCCTCTGTAAACGAGCTTGCATCGCTGGTACCATCATCATCATCGTCATATATGTACTCGGTACTGGTATATCCTTCCACAGGGGTACATTCATCATCAGTATCAAAGGAAATGCGGATAGGTATGCCAAGTTGGCCGATAATTTCGTAGCCATGGCTACATTCATTATGATAATTCGTTAAAGTCTCGCTGGTGGAGGAATAATCCTTATCGGCGTCACATTCATCCGGGTGATGAGTCGATAACTCATTACTCCTCAGACTGTCATCATCATCGCCATCATCATAGTCGTAATCAATATCGTACTCTTCTGTGGCACTGTAGGATGTTGTTGGCGTTAGCGTTACCCTTACGCCCGCTGATTTCGACAAAACATTATATGTATACCTTTTCAAACTATATCCATAATCTTTAATAGTAGTATTTTCAGCTCTGCTATGATTGTCGGTGTTATGATTAACAATCTCGTAGACATTAACTGATATAATCCTTGGCTGTTGTACACAAAAGATGCTAGACATTTGTTTTAATACTTAGATGTTTATATATATGTATCTATATTTATATATATATGTTTTAGAATAACCATCATGGTTGTGAGTGTGCTATATCACTCACACTATCATCACATAGAGCATAAAAGGCCTCTATAGGCACTTCATCAATTAATAACATTGGCATCAACTGTAACATATAAAAAACATCAGCAGGTTATGTAAACACACACACGCACACTTATAGACCTACTCACAGTCATCACAGATAGACATTGTGTAGGCATATGTGAGTGTGAGTGTTTTTCGTGTGTGTTTGTGTGTGTGTGTGAATGTGGTGAGCACATGCATTTGTGACCACAGCTAAACAATCCATTAAACACCATTGCACAGAATCATATGATGAATGTTTTTGTGCTAATGAGATTAAAAAACTCAAGTCAGAGTCAATATTACGCGGAGTGGTAATAAGCATGAAGCACTTATAATAAGTGTATTCTAATCAATTATAATACTGAGTAATGTGCATTGGTGATCCGGTCACGAATTTTAGATAAAATTTAAAACAATTAGTCACTTTTATAAATTTGGATAATGTTATTAGTAGACGGACTTAAGTCAATGCAAGAACTGCCGCGGAATTATGCTCCTGTCCATACCAAGCAAAATACTAAGCCGCATCATCCTGTAGAGAATCAAACATGCCCTAGATGAAAAACTTCGACCGGAACAGGCTGGATTCAGGAGGAACAAGTCATGCACTGATCAGATGGCCACATTACGAATCATCATTGAACATAGCTTGGAATGGCAGTCATCTCTCTATCTCAACTTCATCGACTTTGAAAAGGCCTTTGACAGCGTCGATCGAGAGGTGATTTAGCAACTACTTCACTACTACCAAGGGGTGCAACCGACAATTATACATCTCATCCAACAGCTGTACGACAATCAAGTGTGAGGACAAATACTTGCCAGTGACATTAGTTGTTAGTGGCAGAGGTTTGGATTCATGAATAATAATAACAATAATAATATGTTTTACGAGTTGATCACGGACTGATATCAGTCCGTGATCAACTCGTAAAACATAACTAATCCTTACAAACCAAACTATAGAAAAGAAGACAATAATAATAATCTAATTTATTCCAAAAACAGTACTTATAATACAGAAAGGAATTCTCAAAATTTGTCACAATATTGCTGCATGCCAAGTAATCCACAACGGGAAACTTACGGAATCCTTCGAAGTGAGGACAGAAGGCTGCCTACTATCGCCAATCATTTTCCTGATTGCAGTAGATTAGATAATGCGACAAACAGTGGGCAATGAGGAACCAGGCATAAAATGGACCCACACAAAAAACGTGGAGGATCTGGACTTCGCCGATGAAATATGTCTGATTTCCAACAAACTGGAAGTGAAAAGCAACAAGTTGTCAGAAGAAGCATCCAGAGAAGATAGGACTTCATTTCAGATGAACATGGAGAAAACAGAGGTGTTGAAGATTCCTGGACAAGAACAACAACAACAGACAACGATCAGCATAAATGGGGGGAACCTGAAAGAAACAACCTCCTTTACCTACCTGGGAAGCATCGTTTCAACTACAGTCGGCGGAACAGACGAGGATATCAAAGCAAGAATCGGAAAAGCAAGACAAGCTTTCATTACTCTCAAGTCTGTGTGGAGGTCAACAGCACTCAGCATCAAAATGAGAATAAGATCCAGATTTTCAACTCCAATGTGAAGTCAGTGCTACTATAAGGATCATAGACTTGCAGTGCGCGTCATAAAAAGCATCTCAAACAAACTACAGACCTTCATTAACAGTTGTCTTCGCTCAATACCACTCAAGATCAGATGGCCAGAAAATATCAGTAACAAAGATCTCTGGGAGCGAACCAACTCAGCAGGAATCGATTGTGAAACAAATAAGGAGGGAGAAATGGAGATGGATTGGCCATACTCTGAAGAAACCATCAAGTGACATCACATGCCAGGACATCTCTCGTG